AAAGTTATTAATTTGCAGATTTAGCTGTATAGCTCACTGGTTTGAAAAAAAAATTCACGATTTACCCTGAAAAGGACCAAAAAGGAACCCCAAAAGACCCAAAAGGACCAAAAATGAAATTAAGAATGACCAAAAAAGACTTGAAATAAAGAGAATAAATGGATATATAGTAAACACTTTCATATTTTATTAAAACTAAAAATCCCCCCCCCACACACACACACACACACACACACATCCCCGATACCATATGCCTAGAACATGTCATAAAATAAAACTTATTTCTTCATTTATCAAATATCATATAGTTAGATATGGTAAAACAGAAGGAGAAATAGAATAATATTTTGTTACTAATTTCAGCTAAAATTAAACTAAGCATATCTGACCAGATTTAGTGTTTGATGTGTTACTGATAAAAGTCGTCTGTTATTTGCAACAATATAAATGTATGTTTTTGCCAACTTTTAGGTAAACATATGATATAATATTCATAATTTTATTCAAAATATTAATTTTCAATGTATCATAATATATTAATTTGAGTCCTTTTGATTTCCTTTTGGGTTCTTTAGGGTCCCTTTGGGTAAATCGACGCACCCCAAAAACATTGTTTTGCTAGGGAAATGGTTCAAACTCTAACTATGTGTCAGATCAAAAAGTAAAATTAAGGAGGTGCAGTGCACAAGGGCATTTTCATGTGTAGTAAAGATTCTGTGAAAGTCTCATCAAATTTCATTCAGTGGTATGAAAAGAGTTGTGGAAACGTATAAGAGATGGGTACCCCAAAGCCTTACAGATGGACGGACATCCCGATAACTATATACCTTCCCGCTTTTCAAGCTGAGGGTATAAAAAATCCAAATGTTAAATCTGATTATCATCATAATATTATATTACGTACTTTTATATGTTCATTAAGCATGAATGGTTATAAGTGATTGCGTGGTTCATTTATATCTTAATATGTAAATTATTTTTAAAAAGGGCTTCTAATTGTAAAAGAATGTTAATGCTTTACATGAATGTAGTTGCCTCTCATACTTGTATCTTTTTGTCATTTCAGGGTTTGCTGTTTTAGGACTCTACCTATTCTCATACATTCTATAACAAAGTTCTCCAAATATATCGTTATACCTGTACGAAAATCCCCAAACCTACAATTTCAACACCAATCTGACTTCAGCATAGTGAATTCCTATTGCGTTAACTACAAACATCATTTAAACTTTGTCACCATCTGCAACAATAACTGTTTTTACTCTCCCAAAAGAAAAATGTCGGACAAAAAGTCAAATAAAAGAAAGGCAGAGGAAAAAGATGAAGAACCAAAAGAAGAGAGTCCAAAGAAAATGAAAACACAAAGTACAGACAGTAAAGACAAAAGTGACAGCTCTCTGATAAAACAGATCACAGAGACCAGAAAGAAACTGTGTGACTCTGTGGCTGAATTCAAGTTTAACAAGAAGCGAGTGAGAGTTCTGTCCAAAGTCCAGGATTTCTCTGACGACAAGAATGGAGTCCTATACTGGATGTCGAGGGATCAACGGGTTCAAGGTCAACTTCTTATTTATTCTAATTAATGGACCATTTTGGTTGTTTTGTTTGTTAAAGAGTATTTGCAAAGTTTTAGGTATAGTAGACTAGTGGTGTGAGACTGTGCCAGGATAAAGCAACATTTCAAAATTCTGTTTTTAAGGACTGGCAGAAACAATATCTTCATACTGTGTACAGGGTTATTTTCGCCCCATGTTATTTTCACCCTTTCACACTTGCAAACAATTTTGCCACATTTTAATTTCACCCAATCACAGTTTTGTTTAAGAAATTATACTGTGATTTTTTTTATTTCGCCCCGTTTTAAATTTGCCCATCTGTGGGAAAGGCAAAAAGGACGAAAATAAGACAGAGGCAAAAATTTCCCTGTATACAGTATACACATTGTGCAACAGAATATCTCATTTACCACTAACTAAGTATGCCTTCAATTTCCATCATTTCAAAATACTGGGTATCAGTATCCATTGCACAATATTCATCTAAGGAAAGATTTATTCAATGGACTTGATAGTCAAATGATTTATATACATGTTGATACTCATAATTGATACTCATAACTGTTCCTTTCATTAATGATAATATATTAAAGCATAGCATTAGATTGAATTATTGGTATTCAAAAAATTATTTAGTAAAAACTGATATAATATAGGTTGTGAAAATTTATTTTATTTAACGTAATATTTCTAGATAACTGGGCCCTGTTGTATGCCCAGAAGCTGGCACTGAAGATGGACGCCCCTCTCCATGTCTGCTTCTGTCTCGTCCCCAAGTTCCTAGACGCCACAATCAGACATTACAGGTTCATACTTAAAGGGTTGGAGGAAGTGGAGAGGGTAGGGTGAAATGAGAATCCTGTTGACATTTATATAACAAAATAACAATCAGCAATTTATTCCACCCATTGGAGATTGGTATGGGACCAGTTCAATAGGGGAAAATGCCATAAAAAATGTGTCTTGTCCACAAATGAAATTTATTTTGACTTGATTAGGGGATATAGAGAAGGTATGATATAACCATGCAGTTGACATTAATTTATCATGTTAATTGGATAAAGTTGTAGTGAAATTGGTCTAATCCAACATGCACTGGGAGGTAAATTTGGTTCAGATTATACATTTTATCAAATTGAACACACAATATATAAAATAAAAATAGAATTCACAGTGAAACATATTACGAAAGAAACAAAACTAAACAGTTATATGTACACTCAACCAGATTTGATAAATTTCTCATTGCTTTAGGAATGGTAAAGTGAAATTTGTCTAATCCATCATTCCACCTGCTTATTGGTCACGCTAAGGATGTTTTACCTCCATTTGTAAGAGAATTGCACAGATGGGAATTAAAATTTCTCTCCCTTGAGAGTTCCAGCAGAGTGGGTGTCTGATGTTGAAACATAGCTCAGGTGCCAGACTAAACAGTTTGTCAAGTACAGTAATACCATAAACATGATGAAAATATATTCAAAAAAATGTAAAGACCTGTATATACATTCCAGTTTGAATTGTCACTCACGTATCATGGGATGTCACTTACACTATGTTTTTTTGTGAAAGAGAATTTCTTGTCTGGAGTGAGTGGTAAAAACTCTCTTTTTTGATATTCTATACCAAGAAGGAAAGGAACCAGAAATATTTGGGTTTGATGTTTATCCAGGAAAATTTTCATATCATGTATTTTCTTGAAAAGAGGAAACATGAAGAATTGATTGTCAAGTGCTGTAATGCCATTACATGATGACATATTGTTTAAAAAGAAAAAATACATAAGTTTGAATTGTTACATACATCATGATACATGACATCAGGAACAAGATACACAATCAGCTAACCTAGTTTTTAACATGTCAATTCCCACAACTTTTTTTTTTCAAAGTCACCTTAATGTAAGTAATGAATTGTAGGGTCAAGCTAAGTTTTGTCCAAGCTATAAAAGAACTTTATCAAATATTTTAAAACTTATTAAGTTAAATGAATTTAAAAATTTTATTAACTTCTTTGAAAACTTAAATCAGTAATAATTAAAATGTATTTTTGGCAACAAATATATATATTTTTTGATATTAATTATATACAAATTTTCAGCCAGTTGATTGGTCAGCTGCTGAGGACAGTTTGGAGGTGGATCGTACTGGTTACAGAGGTGGACTGGGCATCCGGAACAAGTACACAATCAGCTAAGCATGCTAACAGAATTCCCACCAGTCTGTAAACACCCACACAAATCAAAGTCACCAAGTAAGGTGGATCAGAGAGAAATAACCCAAAATTTTAACGCCCTCAGCAACCTGTCACCCTGGGTCAAATTTGGCAAGTCTCTGTTAAATTAATGTATATATATTTAATCTTATTGAGTACTGTGAAATCACACATTAAAAATCTATTGTTTCAACAAATGTATATTTTTTGTAAAGTTCTAAATATATACAATATATTTTCAGTTAAACAAAACTATGCTGAGGACGTTTGGAAACGGGTTACAAGGTGGTTGGGCAGTGTGAAAGGGTGAAAATAAAGCCGGACTGAACATGCTGGAACCCTGTATAAGAGAGATTTTCATTGTTTTCGATGTATGAAGAGGCCATGTCCACCACAAAATGTAAAATGTTACATGCATAACTATTCAACAATTCTTCATCCACGAATTCATATCACCACGAACCAAGAAGTCTCAAACCTGCTATTACTGTATATATATATTCAATCTTATTAATTTGTTGATAATTTTAAGTGTTAGGTGCATTGCCTTTTTCCTATACTAGTATATTCAAGCCAATATATAATTATCCTGTACTTTAAGTTTCAGCACAAAAGTTACATATAAAGACATTCATTATTATGAAGACGAACATATATCACCTCTAAGCTCTTTCATACAACAAGTGTTCTTGCTCTAGAAAAAGTAAGTTAACAATGTTTGTCTTTACATACAGGTCAGATATCAGTTCAGCGCTGCATCCTGACAGTAAGACAGTACCGCAGTAAATACAAGGAATCCGTGGAATCGTACATAGAGGAGGCAGTCATAAGGAGAGAGCTGTCTGATAACTTCTGCTTCTACAATGAGAAATACGACTCCGTTGAAGGTGAGACACAATACCACTAACTTAAATTTTAGCACAAGTACATGTACTTGAAATCAATGTATAGACATATATACAGTAAAACTCTTCTTGTACAAATACAGTCATAATAAATTCAGATAAATGTAGGTTATTGCTGAAGTACCCAACTCCCCATTCCCGGAAAAATCGGAAAAAGGCAACTACTTAAACACCTTTAACCCTAAAAAGGTTTGAATATATATATACAGTAAACAAGAGTTTTAGAACAGGTTACAGGTTGCTGACAAAAAATTGTACCGGAGAATTTGGGCACCTGAAGAAAAATTAGAATAATAATAATAACTAGTGCTCTCTGTAACGGGGACCGTTAGCGATGTTCAGTCCCTGTACGCTTCCGGGCATCTCCCTTTTGGTGCCATATTCCCTGTAAGCTTCATAAAATAAGAGAAACTTTATGCAGCAGCTTTAACGTTTACCCAGAAGGGTACCAATTTTCATATATAGAACTTTACAAAAAATATACATTTGTTGCCAAATGCGTGTGCGTAATGACCATGATTTAATCTACACAAGTCTATAAACTTTAATAATTAATATTAAAATAGTTTTACCGGTTATTAAAATTGATAAGTACTCGGTGTATTTATTGCTTAAAAACAAAACTGGAGCGTGCACGCACGTGCATATATATGAGCTAATGACCTACCTTACTTGGTGACTTTGATTACATGTGTGGGTGTTTACAACTGGTGGGAATTCAGTTTGGTTGGCTTAGCTGATTGTGTATCTTGTTCCAAGTTTCAGCCAATCAGATTGCAGTGTACGTTCACGCACGTGTATGGATGTGCATGGTGACCATACCAAGTTATGAGCATCAACCTTAGAAATACAAATCATTTGATTGGTTCAATTCTGGGTTATTTATCCTCTTTTCAAGAAAATACATGATATAATTTTTTTTCTGAATATCAAAGCAAAAAAAAAAAAAAAAAAAAAAAAAAATTTAAAATATTTCTATGTTCCAAATCCCATTCTGTTTGGTTCAAAAACAACAGTTTTTTACATTTAAAGTTTTAGCCAAAAAAGTTGATTGACATGGGATAAAAACATGGACCGTGTTTACATGACAATTGTTATATGTCATGTTTGTAAAAATTCTGAACTTATGTATTTTTTCTTTTTCTCAAACAATATGTCATCATGTATATGGCATTACTCACTTGACAAAAAGGGACATCTTTAGGGAGAGCTTTTGTAACATCAGACACCCACTCTGCTGGAACTCTCAGGGGAGAGAAATCTGTCACCACTCCTCCTATCTTATTCTCTTTCACAAATGGAGGTAAAACATCCTTAGCGTGACCAAGAAGCAGGTGGAATGATATATCTAGGTCTTTACATTCCTAAAGCAATGACAAATTTTTCACAATCTGGTTAAGTGTACAGTGGAAACTGTTTAGTCTGGCACCTGTGTAATATGTTTCACTGAGAATTCTGACCCTTATTTTTAATTCCCACTGTGCAATTTGATAAAACGTATAATCTGAACAAAATTTACCTCCCAGTGCATGTTGGATTAGACAAATTTCACTACCACATTATCCAATGAACATGCTAAATGTCAACTGCATGGTTATATAATACCTTTTTTTCTTTTGTTTCTTTCTTACTATGTTTGTCTATTTATTTTTATACCTATATATTGTGTGTTCATCTTGACCTTGTAGGGAAAGGGCTAAAATAGGCTTTGCCTGCTGCCCAATCCCATTCACTTCTGTGAATAAAATTTTGTATAAATATAATACCTTCCCTATATCCTCTATTCAAGTCAAAATAAATTTCATTTGTGGACAAGACAGAACATTTTTGATGGCATTTTTCCCTACTGAATTGGTACCAGACCAATCTCCAATGGGTAGAAAAATTACTGATTGTTATTTCATTATATAAATGTCAACAGGATTCTCATTTCACCCTACCTTCTCCACTTCCTCCAACCCTTTAAGTATAAACCTGTAATCAGATTGTGGCATCTAGGAACTTGGGGACGAGACAGAAGCAGACATGGAGAGGGGCGTCCATCTTCAGTGCCAGCTTCTGGGCATACAACAGGGCCCAGTTATCTAGAAATATTACACGTTTAAGGTAAAATAAATTTACAAATACCTATATCATATCAGTATTTCATAATTTTTTTTTTGAATACAGTAATTTAATCTAACGCTATGCTTTAATATATTACCATTAATAAAATGTACAATTAATATGTGTATCAATATGTATAATTCATTTCACCATCAAGTCCCATTGAATAAATCTTTCCTTAGATGAATATAGTCTCTTGGATTCTGATACCCAGTATTTTGAAAAGATGAAAACTGAAGGCATACTTAGTTAGTGGTAAATGAGATATTCTGTTGCACAATGTGTGTATACTGTATACGGGGAAATTTTCAACTCCGTTTTATTTCCGCCCTACCCAAAGATGGGCGAATTTAAAACGGGTCGAATTAAAATCATAACAGTATAATTTCCTCAAACAAAACTGTGATTGGGCGATATTAAAATGGGGCAAAATCGTTTGCAAGTGTGAAAGGGTGAAAACAACACGTGGCAAAAATAACCCTGTATACAGTATGTAGATATTGTTTCAGCCAGTCCTTATCGCGATAACACAGAACTTTAAAATGTTGCTTTATCCTGACACAGTCTCACACAACTACATGTAGTCTACTATCCCTGAAAACTTGACAAATACTCTCTAACAAACAAAATAACAAAAATAGTCTATTAATTAGATTGAATAAGAAGTTGACCTTGAACCCGTTGGTCCCTGGACAAAAAGTACCGGAGAACAAATAAGAAATTCTTGTAATCAGAGAAATCCTTAAAAACAGAACCAAACTCCGTTTGTTAAACATAATAATAATAATAAGAAACAGAGTCACATAGCTTCTTTCTGGTCTCTGCAATCTGTTTTATTAGAGATGTGTCACTTTTGTCCTTACTGTCTGTACTTGTTTTCATTTTCTTTGGACTCTCTTCTTTTGGTTCTTCATCTTTTTCCTCTCCCTTTCATTTGACTTTATTGTAGGATAACATTTTTCTTTTGGGAGAGTAAAAACAGTTATTGTTGCAGATGATACAAAGTTTAAATGATGTTTGTAACAACGCAATAGGAATTCACTAGCGTAGTGTCAGATTTGTGTTGAAATTCTATAGGTTTGGGGATTTTAAATATAACGATATATTTGGAGAACTTTGTTATAGAATGTATGAGAATAGGTAGAGTCCTAAAACACGCGCTGAAATGACAAAAAGATACAAATGAGAGGAAGCTCTTATATCTATCTATGTTCTAAATAACATTCTTTTACAATTGAAGCCCTTTTTAAAAATAATTTAAGTATTCAGCCAATAAATGAACCACGCAATCACTTATAACAATTTTTTTTTCAAAATCATGAAAGTCATTGTGAGAATATAATGTATCACTATGTTTTAACATTTGGATTTTTTATATCTCAAAAAACAAAGGAGATATAGCTATTTAAATGTCCAATCAGATCTGCAAGGCATGGTGGTACCCATCTCTGTATATCATATTGCAGGATATCTTTTGATACCACTGAATGAAATTTGATGAGACTTTCAGAATCATTCTGTCAAACAACAAAGGAATGCCCTTAGTAAAGTTTAATCCAAACAGATTGCAGCACACGTGCATGCGCACTTGATTTTTTTTGTATATCATTTCAGGATATCCTAATGCATGACAATGTTTTAAATTTCAATTTACCCAAATTTCGTAAAGAACCCAAAAGGAAATGGGAAAGCCATTTAATATATTATGATACAGATTGAAAGCGCACGTAATTATGCACGTGATTTCATGAATTTTATATCTATATTTGTCCTAGGAATCTCTAATTCATGACAATGTTTAAAATTCATAGCATTTGTCGAAAAACAAAAGAGATATTGAGATTTTTGTTTCAGCCAATCAGATTGCAGCGTCACGTGCATGCGCGTGAGTTTTGCTGAAAAGAACAGCGTAATATTATTCACTATTAATATATCCTTATGTGATGAGTAACAATAGGATATTCATCAAAAAATGTAAAAGTTTATTTTATACATGTATATCAGTCAATTCACGATTTCACGCGCACGCACGTGTGTGTGTGTGTGTGTGGTGTAAAGGTCGTTCCGCACACCTACAGACACACCTATTAACCCTAAAAAGGTTTTACAGTTTTATTTCTGAAAAAACAGTATAAAAAGTTACCGGAGAACAAAAAGAAAACACAATAATAATAATATAATCTTGTTACATGTAAGATCTTGAAATTTTGTCATCATAAATTTTAAGAATCTGCTTTTTTCTCTGCAAAAAACATAGATGTCATATGTACTCTGAAAGAAAAAAAACTGCACTTGGTTTTCAGTACTTGTGGTACTTTGATTTTCATGAGTAATTCTTGTTCTTATGCATTTGTGGCACTCATAAGAGATACAAACAGCAACATAAAAGTCAAACCAACGGAAACGAACACCGACTCTCATAAACTTCACTGTGTTTATGTTAAATGGCACTTTGATTGGTGTTATTAAAAACATGATAAAGTTATACCACATAATTATATCGCGGGTTTGATTTTTACAGTAATATTCGAGATTTGTCAGCAGAAAGATTATTGAATTCACTAGCAGGAATTATTTTTAAAAATACATTTGTTATTTTGTTTGTTTTTGTCCCTCCCTCGAAGAATTTTTGAACATTTGATGTGAAAAATGGAGACTGCAAAATTTGTCCTTATAATTTGGCTCTAATTTATAACCAGTAAAAGCAGTGAGGAATCATTTTGAGTCAGTACCGTCTGACACACGGGATTTTTCGATTTAAACGATCTAAATTCTGGAGAATAAAAATTAGGTCCACAACTGAACAAGTACAGATGTATGATGCCCTAGCCATGTTTTTATTTTATTTTTCATTTCTCAAATTAAAGCATCAGATTTTCTGAATCTGATGTTAAAAAAATCATTTCGGACAACTTGTATTTTGCACTAAAAAGTGGGCCATATTTTGATTGATAAATATCATTTAATATAAGTTAAATTAATAATTTTAACCAGAAAAAATATAAAGAGCGTGACTATGACGATACTATGAAATCAGAAAATATATAATAAAGAATTTACAACTGATATAAATGATTTTTTGTTATGTAAATCACAGGCCTTTAGATCGCTTGAAAAAAAATTGAGGTATTGAAAAAAAAATAAAGGTATGGAACTCTTTTTATAGGGTACATAATTTCGCCAATAAAATTCTTTTAAATCAAATGCTTTACAATTTTACTTTCTATCCATATCTATTAAAATATAAATAATCTTTATTACTACCAAAGTTCATTCCGTAATTCCTTATACTTCTCGAGATATTCTGATATCAATTCCCAAATTGACCTAAATATTTTTACTCGACATCAGCTTGGGCCTTCACTAATTGTAAAGCGGGAACAAGAGACAATTTTCCCCGGAATTTATTCTAAACTCAATGAATATTTGCTCATTTGCATTCAATCTTTACAAGGTTTTTCTTTAATTTTATCATATTGTGTAAATAAGTCACAAACAACATTTTAGCGGTCTAATTGATTTGAAAATCGAAAGGTATAGAATGCATTCCGGGAAAAATTCGCTCTACCATGGCTTCATTTACATTCATAATCAACATGGCGGTAGTTGTTGATGTAGACGTTTTCAAATTAATTTTTCTGAAAGGAATATTATTACGGACTTAACGTTACAATCTGGAGTAAGAAATCAACTTTAAATTGTTGAAAGATTTTGCAAATACTATGCAACTCTTCGCCGCACTTCAAACACCGTCTGTTTACATGTGAATGGCCAGGGGCCCAAGCTAATGTCGAGTAACAGAAAGTAGGTCATTTTTGAAATTGATTTCAGAATATCTCAAGAAATATAAGGAATTTCGGAATGAGCTTTTGTAGAATTGAAGAATGTTTATCTATGAATAGATTAAAATAGAAAGTAGAATTTTAGAGCATTCGAATAAAAAATATTTTATTAGCGAAATTAGGTACCCAGTGTAAGAGTTCCATGTTTATTTTTTTTACGCAATTTTTAACAATGCAAAGGCCCTATAATAGTAATAATCAAATTTCGGGTTAACACTTAAAGCCATGGTAGTTCATCCCGTGCAGTTTCATACACACATACCAAATTTGTGCACTGTGTTTAAAACGACATGGGCTGAGAAATTGTACCTTTGTGGACTGAATGGGCCACTGAAATGAGTGGAAAGGTGACTGAATGGAGAGTTCTTCCATTCAGTCGATAGATGCATGAACTGAACGACAATTTTATCCTATCAGTCATACACAGAACGATGCCATTGTAGTAGCTGAACGGAAATGTAGTTGGTTGCTATGACAACCATATTTCTTTGAAGAATTGGGAACTTGGGGAGATGGATCAAATTCGCAAAACTAATCAAGTATTCTTTATTATGTTGGATTTATTCATAGGCATCGCGGAAGCCCAGCGACTTGCCCCTGAAAAGTCAAAGCCGAAAAATTGCCAATTAGCGTCCCTGACCCAGAAGAGAAAGTTATGCCATTACAAACAGGATTATAGGAGCATATATTCCGTAACATATTTTTACGTTTAACAATCAATATACATACGAAAATGATACAGTAGGGAAAGGGCTAAAATCAACAGATGCCCTAAAAATAAAAACCTCGGCACTATAACTATATAAATATATATTATACCGCAACATAAATTTTAAATAAGAGCCTTCTTTTTTTCATATGGAATTCATTGTAAAAATTGTGCTTTTATGAAAGAAACGAGACAAATCAAAATTATCCTTAGTATTCCTTAGACCTGAGGTGTTATTTTCGAGGGGGGGGGGGAGCTTCAACAACGGTCCCTGACTTTGTGTTTGTAAATTGTCGAGAAATTCACTAATAAATATATAAACTTACTGAAGGTTTTCGCCTTTAAAAATTCAAAAATGATCAGTGATATTTAAGAGGGATAATAATATGTTATATGTAACTAGATATTCACTAAATCTTAAGCTCATGCTAATGATTGTATAGACAGTTTAATTAGATATAAAAGGGAGGATGGAAACTAAATGAAATGGTGTGACAGAATAACAATGATTCTAAATATAAAATGATTTCAAATATCTATATAGAGAAAAATTCGCCCTTTTTCGTCCTTACCTCGATTTTGGGCGAACTTAAACTGGGCAAATAATCGATTGCAAAAAAGGAAGCAGTATAATTTCTAAAACAAATTTTGACGGGCGAATTTAAATATGGACAAAATTGTTTGCAAGTGTGAAAGGGCAAAGAACCAAAACCTGTATTTGAGACTGTAGCTCTACTGGTTTGTGCTTATAACAAAGGATGAGAAAAGAAGCCATTGCTATTAAACCAAAACTGTCAAGGGGTGACGTGTTTTAAAGGAATTTCACACATTTCTATTTTTAGTAACAATGGCAACACTTTCATCAAAATCAAAAACAGAAAATGAACTACTCTATATATTGCTTCAAGTACATGCTCACTTGTGTGCCAAGTTATCTGCAATCGGACCAAAACTGTAGGAGGAGTAGCGTTTTAAAGGAATTTCACAGGAAATTCTTTTTTTGCATAACAAGTGACGACGCCGTTCATCGAAATCAAAATCTGATGCACTATTCTATGTATAATTGTGTAGACTACTTGTGTGCCAAGTTATATTGAAATCGGTAGAAGTAGTTTTAAAGGAATTTAGCAGAAAATTCTATTTTTTATTAGGCCAC